ATCTAACCTTTAGCCAATAACCCCCTGACCACTAAACCATATCATGAAGTGCCACATCCACATGTTTTTTGAACCCCTCCAGGGATGGGGACTCCATCACTGCCCTGGGCAGCTGTGCCAGTGCCTGACCACCACTTCCCTGAAGAAATTTTCCCTGATATCCAATTTAAACCTCCCCTGGCACAACTTGAGGCCGTTTCCTCTCATTCTGTCCCCTGTTCCCTGGGAGCAGAGCCCAACCCTCCCTGGGCTCCACCCTCCTGTCTCAAGGAAAACCCAGAGCAGTTTATTCCATAAAATTCAGCCCTTGGTGTTTCCACAAGGAAACAGGTTTCAATCTGCTTAAAACCCCAGGCCACAGCCTATGTGTTGTTTCAAGTAAACAGATAAAAGATGAAAATGGAGGGCTGAAAATACAGGAAAATAACAGGAATCCAGGAGAATTTCAGATGGAAGAGGTGGGATGATGTGGGTCACAAAGCTGAAGATAAGCAGATGATAAACTATTTCCACCATTGGAATGGTGGAAATAAATAAAGCCTCCCACAATCATAATTAATTTTCTAAGTATGTCTCTCTTTCAATTTGAATCTCAAAAATCTAAAAAATAAATGTTTTACTTTGGAGACTGAAACAAGAAAAAAAAATCCTGAGACAAAGCCAAACCACAGATTTAATAAAACTCTATTTCTGAGAAATTTGTTTTGCAGTAGATGTAAAGTGCAAGACTCTCTTACAGTGCAGTACGTACACGGAGGCCCAGAAGAGGTACTTACATTAGCAGGTTTGGGAAGATTCCGGGAAAAAGCAAGTTTTGGGAATATTCACTGTCCTGTTAAACTTCTCACACTATAAACTTCCCAATGACTGAGTTCACTGACAGCATGTTTACCAGAAAAAACATTTTTCCACAAGAAAATCCTAAACACAGCTGAAAACATAATTAAATTGTGTCAGTCTATTTTATTGCTGTTCTAAGACTAAAATTTATGTCTGCAAACTCAGGGCAAAGGGAGCTGGGGAAGGGTCTGGAGCACCAGCAGCTGCTGAGGGAGCTGGGGGGGGTTCAGCCTGGAGAGGAGGAGACTCTGGGAGACCTGAAAGCCCCTTCCAGTGCCAGAAGGGGCTCCAGGAGAGCTGGAGAGGGACTGGGGACAAGGGATGGAGGGACAGGACA